TTGACCTCGTGTGCTTTCAGCTGTCTTGAGGCATAGGCAATCACCTTTCCTCTTTGCATAAGCACACAGCCTAAACCTTGATTAGACGCATCGCAGTAGACAACGAAGTCCTCTGTCCCTTCGGGCAGGGACAGAACAGGCGCGCTGCATAGGGCTTTCTTCAACGTTTGGAATGCAGTTTATTGTTTATCACTCCAACAAAGGGTACACCTTTCTGTGTTAGAGTGGTTAAAGTTTTGGCGATTTTGGAAAAGTTCTGAATGAGTCGTCGATAGTAGTCGGCGAGACCCAAGAATTGATGAATTTCTGTGGGTGTTTTCGGTGCCGACCAATTCTCTATCGCTTTAATCTTGGAAGGATCCACACGAATACCCTCCTCGCTTACCACGTGACCGAGGAAAGTTACCTTCCGTATCCAGAATTCGCACTTGGAAAATTTTGCGTATAGCTTTTCGGATCTGAGGGTCTCCAACACTAATCTCAAGTGTTGCTTATGGTCTTCTTCGTTTCGGGAGTAGACGAGGATGTCGTCAATGAACACGATGACGAACTTGTCTAAGAAAGGACGGCACACTCGGTTCATCAGGTCCATGAACACAGCCGGTGCATTCGTTAGACCAAAGGGCATCACTAAGAACTCGTAGTGTCCATACCGAGTCCTAAAAGCTGTTTTGGAAATATCATTCTCCTGGACTCGTAACTGATGGTACCCTGACCGAAGGTCTATCTTTGAGAAATAGCTGGCTCCCTGGAGTTTGTCGAAGAGATCGTCAATTCGTGGAAGAGGATATCGATTCTTAATGGTCAACTTGTTTAGTTCACGATAGTCGATATACATTCGAAAGGATCCATCTTTCTTTTTGACAAACAATATCGGAGCTCCCCAAGGTGAGGAACTCGGTCTAATGAATCCTTTACTGAGCAACTCATTGAGTTGACTGGATAACTCCTACATTTCTGCCGGAGCTAAGCAATACGGAGACTTTGCTAAGGGGGTAGCTCCAGGAATTAGGTCAATACGGAACTCGACCTGACGTTCGGGAGGAATTCCTGGAAGCTCTTCGGGAAACACATCAGGAAAGTTACAGACTTCGGGGATGCTCGCGAGGTCCCTAACTTCTTGTTTCTCGTTGATCACATGGGCTAAGAATGCAACACACTCCTTCTGTAGGAGCTTTCGAGCTTTGATGCAAGAAATGATATGAAGGTTGGAACTGGGTTTATCGCCATAGATTACGAGAGTTTGATCTGAAGGAAGATTTAGACAGATGGCTTTTTCGTAACAAAGGATATCAGCATGATTGGGACTCAACCAATCCATGCTAATGATAACATCAAAGCTCTTAATGGAAACGGGCATGAGATCTATAGGAAATGAGTGATCATTTAGGGTAAGCGTACAGCCTATGAATACAACGTTAGCGCTTTCTTTCTCACCGTTAGCCATCTTGATGGTAAACGTTTCAGTTAGTGGTTGAGGATTTGGTTTTAGATTATGTTTGAATGCATGACTAACAAAACTCCTTTCAGCACCCGAATCGAAAAGAATACTAGCATATGAGTTGTCGAGAAGGAACGTACCCGAAACAACAGTGGGATCAGCGACTGCTTCCTCCCATCCCATGGTTAGAATCCTTCCAGTGTTATAAGCAGTTGACTTCTTGGGATAGTTCCTTTTAAAGTGCCCAACTTCTTTACAGTTGTAGCAGGCTTGACTAACACCTTCTCCAGATGATTGGTTGGCTGATTGGGTAGGAGCTTTGCAGAATCGAACTGTGTGCCCTTTCTTACCACAGTTGGTACAGGATAGTTCTCGACAAGGACCAGGATGATGATGGTATTTGCCCTTGTCACAGAGAGGAAGATTTCCAGCATATTTACTAGTAGGAGTTGGAGCTGTGGATCCCATGACAGAAGCAGCAGCAACAGGGGTAGTAGTAGCAACATGGACTGCTACCGTCTGCTATTTCTTGGAAGATCCCTGAGAAGATTGACCCTTCTTCTTCTTCCAGAATTTTCTCTTTTCGCCACTCTTTTGAGTTGGCTCAGAAGTGGTAGTGATTTCCTTAACGTCGTCGCTGTGATCAATCAGAATTTGAGCTAAAGTCTTAGCACTATCATAGGTATCCGGACGAGCAGCTAAAACATGACTCTTTGTCGGTTGAGATAGCCCCCAAACAAACCTTTCGATCTTTTTGTTCTCAGGAGTGACTAATCCCGGGCAGAGAAGTGCGAGATCATCGAATCGGGAAGTATATGCAGCAATGTCGGAACATTTCATCTTCAGGTTCCAGAGCTCGTGCTCTAATTTCTGCATTTCACCACGGGGGCAGTACTCAGCAATAAGAAGTTCTTTCATGGCTTCCCAGCCCATGGCATTGGCTACCGGTAACGTTAGAGATTTGACTCGGCCATTCCACCAAGTCAAGGCTTTATCAGCGAAGGTACAGGCCGCGAATTTAACTTTATCAGATTCCGCACTAGCACAGATTTCAAAGATGGACTCGATTTTCTCGAACCATCGAGATAAGGAAATGACACCTCCAGCACCATTGAAAGATGTTGGTTTTGCGTTCATGAAATCCTTGTAGGAACCCCCTCTTTGGTGTCCCTGGTTAACCTCGGGGTTTTGAGATTGAGGACCACCTCCTGAACCACTAGGGTTCATTTGTGACATAGCTGCTACCATTGCAGTTGTCATCATCATCTGGAGCGATGCTAGGTCAAACTGTGGAGGAGGTGGCGGCGAAGAAGGATTGTTGTTGTTGTTTGAGCTAGGTCTCTTTAGGGGAGGCATCTTGATCTAATAAGATCAAGAAAGAGAGGATGGTAAGTCCTCTATATTGAATCGATAGAGATGGCAGTTATATGATTTGAATAAGCGATAAAGCCGGAAAGAGTTATCAAAACAGATAATTTATCGCTAAGAATAATCATAGAAAGCCACTCGAACATTGATTTCTACAGAGGATTGGGATTGAGAAATACTCCCATAGTATTTCATGAATTGTTTACGACAATGATTCGATGTTTGGGATATTATGGTAAGTTTTAGGCATGCCGTATACCACAGTCACTCCCAAGCACATGTTGGCCGTGTCTCGAATGAATATAGTTGGCCAGGCTATATTGACCCTAGACACGACTACATAACTGTCCAGGTTTAACCATAACACACAACGTCCAATTACTTACGTTCTATTCTACTTGTGGTTATGGATGATGACGGTTCGGTATACTTGTATACTTTTGAAAATACTTGTAGTTTGAAGATACTTTTAATTCAGAGCACATAGGCCCTTTTGTGTTTATAGTTTTATACCATGTAAGGTTTGGTATACTTCATTCACTATAAACAAGGGCTCTGATACCAATCTGTCACACCCCGAAAACCGAAGGCGGAAACATTTCCGGGGTTGACTCCACGTTGAGTATCAAATCCAATGCACATAGTAAGTGAAGTAAAGCAACCATTACATTACATAAGAATGTTTTACAGTTGTTCCAAAAGTAAAGTTTGTACAATTGTGATACATAAATATATATAACCAAAAAGAAACGGATCTTCATGTACACCGTTTTCAAGCAAAAAGGATCTTCGGGTACCTGTTCTAACGCTGACCTGAGAACACAAGCAGTTTGAAAATCAGCATAAAGCTGGTGAGTTCATAAGCGGTTTTTATTTATGAAATTGTTTCAAGTTTCCTTTCTGTTTCTGAAATGTTATGTACACCAAGAAAATCCCGTATTTTCTTAAAAGTTGGTTATTTTTTCACAAATGTAAAGTATAATAAGTTTGTACACTGAAAACATGTCTATTCATGTGAAAATGTATAGTTTGGTTATCCGAC